CGATTGCAAATTCAGATACAGTACAACATCACATACCCAACCTTCACATATCTGCCCACGCCCGGTGCAGTGTTTGTTCATGATTATTTATAGATGTTCACAAATCCCACCTTTTCACATACAAAAATAATTTTGTCATCACCATCATCCTCATCTATTACACTGAAAGCCATTTGTATGGCAACATTGTAATCACTATGAGACCTCCTTTGCCAGTAGCAAGATATCGTAATAGGTTTTTACCCTTTTATCTGGCACAAAAACTGACACCTTTATACAAGGGATCATGTTTGCAATAACCACAACACAAGTAGTCAAATAATGCAAACATGAAGAGACAACTGTGATAATGATATGCAGTGTCCTTGAAATTGATTGGTCCACACCCGAGACGGCTTTTCTTAGAGCCTAGTTTCCACTGGTGTTGTACGCCTTTTGGCGTCATCTGTTCCAACACCATGTGAGACTAGGCTCTAAGAAAAGCTAGCTCGGGTGTGGACCAATCAATTTCAAGGACAGTGCATATCATTATCAGAGTTTTCTCTTTTTGTTTGTATTTTTTCACTACTTGTGTTGTGGTTATTGCAAACATGATCCCTTGTATAAAGGTGTCAGTTTTTGTGCCAGATAAAAGGGTAAAAGCCTATTACTAAACATTGTAATCGTCGTCATCATCATCATCGTCATCCTCCTCCTGGATTTGTTCCCCAGCAGAGTCATCACTGTGCCAGCAATCGGTGACTCCAGAGTGGATGTGTTTCTCCTCTGACCCGGCCATGATATGAGCACGTGTGCAGCAGAATTCGGACCAAGCCCCTAACACAAAGAATTCCATTTCGCTGCCACCACCATCGCCGATTGGTTCTCCTTCACCGCGACGGCGATTGCCAGCGGTAGCGGCGCGATGTTCACAGGCGACAGACGCACAGGCGCGGAATAAAACCCACTCACCCGTGCGCTTGCCGGCAAGCCCCGTGTATTTTGCACCGGGGTATCGCATTTTATATATATTGCTTACTTGGAGGCAACCACAGTGGTGTAACGGTTATTATTCTGGACTTGCAATGCAGAGACTTGCAATTCTTTGTTTCATCTACCACACTGGTTCGATTCCATCTCCCGGCGTGGAAGTTGAAACTATGGGGCAAGTGTTTTCGAGATAACTACCTTGCCTGATATACAGGAGGTCGTGGGCTTGATACCGACCCTAACACCTGTATATTTAGAGTTTGCATGTTCTCCCCGTGGTCGTGTGGATTTTTTTCCGGGTCCCCTGGGTTTGCCCTCCACATTTAGAAACGTGCGTTTCGAGTATTTGGTTGCTATACATTTCCACATGATTAAGCCACCTCATTGAGCTGTCATTTGTGGCCAGGTTGCTTCTGATAAAGAGCTATATAGTTCAATGGGCCTTACCCGGTAAAGACAAAAATGCAAAGAGTTAACTTCCAACCCACACCCCAACCTCGTATATCCAAATCAGCAGTGTTAATGGGTGCATACCACAGTGGGTAGGTCCGGTGTGGTGGGGTAAAGCCTGGGCACTCTTCCAAGACGTCTGGCCAACGTGGAAGTGTGGGTCAAAATATCGTCTGTCGAGGCGGGGGGCTCTCAAGAGCTTCCTTTCGTGGAACCTCTTCTGCCAGCAGTGACGAGCAAGTACTTGCAGGGCAGCGCCTGTACCTTTTTGTTTTATATATTTACCCTATTGTTAAATGAAGGCGGTGCACCCGCTCCACTCGGTTTCTTTACAGCTGCGAGCGCCTGTGATGTATGGCGCGTGTCGCATCATCACTCATTAAATTTTGTGGACGTGTGTTATTTACGCGCGGAAGCCATGATGGACAATTAGTCTGGTGGCATTGGCGGGGGGGGTGGCAGAGTGAGGAGTTGATTTATCTCCCCCTCCCCCCCCCGGAGCAGACGCGTGACTTTTCGCTGCCGGGTTCACACGGAGGGGACACGGAGGAGAGACGATACCGAGCCCTCGTCTCACACCACGTAGAACCCTCGCCTCACTCAATGCAGGACCCTTGGAAATGACCGATAGAAAATATCGTCTCATCCGGTCATCAACCCTCGTATCGTCCCATGTAGAACCCAAGTAGAACCCAAGTCTCATCCAAAGATGCTTTTGTCTATATTCTTAGGTTTTTTCGGTAAAGTCACGTAGGTAAAAAAATTAAAATTAAAATTTATAAAAGTAAAATAAAATAAAAATAAAAAATCACGACGTTTCGGAGGCAACACAAGCTTCCGTCTTCAGGTGGAACCGTCACAGCCACGACAGCTGTATCAAGTAAATGAGAGATTACAAGAGATACCACTCCGTATATATATATTGGTTGAGGGGGGAAGGGCCAGGAACGGCACACTTTTTATTTAAAAAAAATTTTACTTTTATTAATTTTAATGTTTTACCTACGTGACTTTATCGAAAAAACCTAAGAATATGAATCCTTGCAGTCACGAAAGCTTCAAATCTATGCTTTTGTCTCTCAATGCTGAACTCTTACCTCATCCGATACAGACCCACTGTCTCATCTTCAGCAGGATCCTTGTCCTATCTAATACTGAGCTGTTATCTATGTCTGTACATCACCTTATCGTGTCTTAGTAATGTAGTGCCTTGACCCAAGGCCTTGACCAAGGTGCTTTACAGATCATTGAGAAGGGGACATTTGAATGTAGTGGTGGAGATGTAGTGGTGGAGATGAGGTGAATACAATAGATGGAGAGGAAGTAATGGGGGCGAATCATGTGAATTACCCTCATTTCACCCCTCATTTAATTCATTATTGAACCACCTTTTCATCCAACGCTATTGGCCAAAATACCCCAATATGGGACCGCAGCGGACGGGCACTTGTTGGTGGGCCTGGTTCTGGCCGCCCTCCTGCTTGTCTGTGGTTTCCTGCGCCTCTACACGAAATATCCATGCGCGTTACAAATTCGACAATTATAATCCTATACATTCTTGGTTCTTTTGGTAAAGTCACGTAGAAGGGAAGTAATAAAATAATAAAAATAAAACATGATAAAAAAAATTCTCATGACGTTTCGGCCACAACGCAAGCAGAAGACAGGTCTGTCTTCTCGACAGACCTGTTTCTTCACCTGAGGACGGCTGCTTGCGTTGTGGACGAAACGTCGTGAGAATTATTGTGTTTCATTTTTATTATTTTATTACTTCCCTTCTACGTGACTTTACCGAAAGAACCAAGAAGATGAATCCCTGCAGTCACGAAAGCTCTAAATCGAAAAAGTCATATTTGTTAAATACTCGGGCTGTGACATGGCATCGAGCCATTCCAGTATTCATATTGAGTCTTAAGCTCATGAGACTCGTATGGAATTGCGCTTTTTTAAGAGAGGATTCCGCGCGATTCGCGTGCCCTTCGTGCAGTCGGTAAGCATCGTCCCTGCAGCCAGTAGAGCCGCTAGCATTCACCACAGCGTCAAAATAATGACCGATTCTTTATTCGAATCTCGACCTTGAATCGCGACCACTGGTCACATCCGGCGTGGCAGAGTGGAGGAGGCGTCGGGGTGTGCATTGCTCCACCCACAGTATTAATAATAATGATTTTACAGGCCATTAGAATTCAACCTTTGATGAATGATGCTGATAACGTTATTTCACCGACATTAGCCGCTAATCATTGATACCACGATTAGTCACTGGTTGCAGCACTGCTCGAGGTGCCACTGATGATGACGACTACGGCGATGATGTTAGTGTTGGGGCTAATGAGCGCGGCGAAGCTGAGTAATATGACGGAGTGTCTGCCAGCTCCTTCAAACGGAACGCGGTGATCGTGTCCAATAATCGGCACATTTCACTGCGCATGGGATGATGTAAATGACCTCTCTCTCTCTCCGTCTCTCCTTTTCTCTCCGTCTCGGTGTCTGTCGTTCTGTCTCCCTTTGTGCCTCTTATCTTTCTGCCTCTGTCTCTCCTATGGCTCTCTGTCTATATGTCTCGCGTTCTCACTCTGTCTCTCGTACTGTCTGTCTTCCGCTTGGTTTCGATCTGCTTCTTAGTCTCTCTCCTTCTCTCTCATTCTTTTCACTCTTCATTATTTATTTTCCTGATCAGCAAAAAAAGAAAAGTTCTCCGTTTTGACCTTGGATCCACTCGTCTCTCCCCAAACGTCTCTGTCGCACCAGTGGATTGTCATCCACATGTCTAACTTGACGATGGGAATACCAAGACATCAATGAAAGGGCATGGTGCGGCCCATACCACCGTGTGTCCTACCGGCCTAAACAGATGCTCACTGTAGCATCCCTTGCACCAAACAGTCTGTACGGGAGATCATTGTCCCTGCAGATCCTGGTGAATGATGGTGCTCATGCTATTGACAGCGATGGTGATGGTAATTCTGCTGGCGATGCTTGCTTAATGACTTGCAGACAGCATAGAGGTTGCATGCGGCGATGAGGTGAGATAGGGCAAGGCAGATGGGGCAATGCAGACCAAGTCAGCGCAAGGCAGATGGGGCAATGCCGGTGCAGGAAAGGAGTGAATAGGGTATATAGTTTAATATATGGCAGTCTATAATGGGATAGGTTAGGATTGGGAAGGGCAGAGTATTATCGGATATGATAGGGAAACTAAACTATTTAAATTCAACTTTGTATTTATTTATTTTACTAGGTAATGTCCCACTGAGCTAGATAGCTATTTTTCAGAAGCGACCTGGCCACAAATGATCGCTCAATGAAGTTGCTTATCACGTGGAAATTTATAGCAGCCAACTACTCTAAACGCACGTTGGTTGTAAATGTGGAGGTTAAAGTCGGAGGGTCCAGAGACAAATTCACACGACCAGGGAGAGAACCGCTCAGGGCAGGGCAAGCCGCCGGGGAGGCGCGGGGGGGGGGGGGCGCGGGGGGGGGGGGCACGGGGGGGGGGCGCGGGGGGGGGGGGGGCACGGGGGGGGGGGCGCGGGGGGGGGCGCGGGGGGGGGGCACGGGGGGCACGGGGGGCGACTGACCGCAGGATAAGCAGGAAGCAGACGTCACCGACAAGGTTGAGGATGGAGACGGCCATGCGGCGTCCGCCCTGCTGCTGCGACACGAGGTAGCTGTCGGTGAGCAGGAGGCTGGCGAGCACCATGCACAGGGCGACGCACGCGTGGCAGCGCCGCCCCGCGAGTAGCACCATCGGGGCGCCGGCTCCCACGGCCCCCGTGCGTGGGAAGCGGTCGGAGCGGATAGCTGCGGCGGCCGCGGTGGTGGTGGTGGTGGGGCGGCGGTGACGCGTGTTATAAAGTAATTATTTAGAAAATGCAATGGGGTGTTTGTGGGAATGACGACGGTGGTGGCAGAGGCTTTGTCTGCCTTTGATGAAATAAATAAATGTTTTGAGTGTAATCAAGTAAAGTATCGTGAATTAGTGTTTTAAGTGGTACAACTATGTTGCTGTGGTTGTTCCACCTGATGAGGATTGCTTGTGTTGCGATCGAAACGTCGTAATTTGTTCTATTTTATTATATAGAATTTTATTTTTACCTACGTGACTTTACTGAAAGAACCAAAGAGTATGGATTCCTGCAGTCACGAAAGCTTCAAATCAAGATTGGCACAACTAATTGTGGCGTTTGTGAGTGAAGATGACGATGGTGGCGGTGAAAGACTTGCCTTTGATGGTATTATGAAAGAGTTGAATTAAATGTAAGTAAGTGAAAATAAGCTAATTGGTGTTAAAGAATACAACTATTAACATTAGTATAGGAATTATTAAAACGATGATGATGGTGTTGGTGGTGGTGGCATTGGTGCCTTATTGACTTGCGTTTGAAAAAGTAAAATGTATTTAATCAATGGTTATTCATCAAAAGTAAACGAAGTGATGAAACTCAAAACGTATAGATTTTGTAGGAATGACAATGATTGTGGTGGTGGTGGTGGTGGTGAAAGACTTATGTTTTATGAAATCAAAATGATAAATTCAAAGTAAAAGTATAATGTATAAGCGTTCAATAGCAATGACAATTATACATGCCTTCTAATGATCTCAAGGGGAGTTTCCTACTTAGTGAAATTACATTGTGAGAAAATTGTTCGTTTAATAACGTGAAACGCGTTAAAGCTGCAATTCATAAAATGAAGGGGATTGGAAAACCAAAATAAAAATTCCGCTCAAGTAAAATGTTACAATATTCATATATGAACGAGGGTGTCCTGAGGTAAAACAAATGACTGGCCTTATAAAAATGAAGGCAATTTAAAATAAGTTATGCTTATGACATTTTAATATACATTGTGTAAAAATCTATAAACAGCGCCTATGTTTAATAAATGAAATAATATATCTTAAAATGGAAATAAACAGTCTAGCGTTTTTGCTTTAAATAATTAATTCAACAAAAAATCGTGTTCTGTCGCCGTTGTTTCCTGCGCCCGTGTTCAGTTTTTAAATCGTTCTTGAAAGCGAAGATTAAAATATTTATTGCAGAAATTAATTAGAGTATAGTTTAACAAAAAACGCCAGTGAACTATAATGAATGAAGTTGAATGAAAAAAAAAATGAAAGGAAAATGAATAAAATAATATTTAATTGCAACGGATTATCCGTGGAAAGTGATTCAAATTAAATTAGTGTAAGATAATTTATGGACGAAGATGCGGAATATAATTGTCTTGGATCAGCCTGGAAACGGTAAATAAGAAATCATCGTATTACTTATTTCACGATGATGTAAATCAAATGCATTGGTCACGCTGTGAGTGGTGCTTGCCTCCCTCGCAATAACATTAAAGTTTTATTTCAGAGATAATAACAATCTTTCCACTATAATCGTTTTGAGTCTCAAGAAATTGATTTTCCTCCGCTTTATTTGGTTTTAATTCACTTGCGGTTCATGTGCTGCGAAGCTCGGTGTACGAGGCTTCTCTCATGCTGCGTGTGATTCGTGTTTAAATGGGAGAGGTGACAGAAACCCCAGTGACGAGGTTCATTTTGTTGTAAGACAACCACCTCCAGGGTTGTTGTAATCACTTCATCGTCATTTACATCGTCGTCATCATCATCAGAATATTTGTTTATCCCCCCCCCCCATTTCCCCTTGTGCCGTGTCGGCCTTCATAGGGGCTTGCTAACAGCACTTTCCCCAAAAGTCTGTTGAAAGCTATATGCGGGGGGCGGGGGGGGGGGAGGTCTTTGTAATTGTTCTATGTATAAGGGCAGTGATAGAAGATGGGAGATCTTTTATGCTCTGGTTCCCCGGGAACAGAAGAAATACTGCATCGAAATCTGCTCCTGCTCGTCCCCATTGGTGACCCCTGAGCAATTGGTGCAAATTCCACATTGCCATGGTGGTCACACATTCCAAATTGATGAAATAATTAAAACTGTGAAGAAAAGTTAAGTGGGCTTGTGCAGGACACGCCATGAGAAGAGACGATGGCCGATGGTCTTGAATAGCGACAAGAGTGGTAGCCACCAAATAGAATGAGAGGATCCGCCACCGAAGAGACGGAGCGATGAAATCAGCGCCTATGCAGGTGCTGGGTGGAATGTTACATCCTGGTATCACGAGTTATGGTGGCGGCATTGGGTAGGCCTTCGTCCAGCAGCGGATTGACCGTGGCTGATGATGATGCTTTTTTCGCACCTTCGATTAGCACGGTTGGATGCGTGGTCAACATGTATGCATGTAGAACTTCTTTCGCTCCGTACGTAGCCAACCTTCCTAAACGGAGGTGCGATTATGAATGTAATCGCTGTCAACCACTTCTCACAAGTTGAGGACTATATTATCCACTCCGGAAGGGCCACCTTGACATTCCTGGAGCGCCCCAGGGCTGAATGCCATGTGTGGCCCACCTTGTTCCACCACTTTCTGCGGGCCTCTCACGGGGCCCTCTCTTGTAATGAGGCCCACGGCAAATTGCCCCTTTCCACCGTCACGCTAGGCAGGCCTGCGTGGGAGAGCTGTGTTTCTCCCAGACGAGGATTTAAACTTGCAAGCTTCCGACTGCGAGTCAAGCGCTCTCTAACCGCTGCATCACCCTGCCGGTAGCGCTACGCATGTGCTCATGTTATGTAAACGAATGCGCACACGCGTTTGCAGAGAGATCAAAGTTAAGCTGCAACAAACACTTCCGCTGAGGATGTGTATCACCGCTTCAGGCGGCGGTGCGGATGAACAGGCCACTTAAATGGATTTTGGCAACGTAACATCCACCTTGTTGTAGGTGTGTTTATTAATTATTTGTAATAGCTCGGTCTTGGTTATTTTTGTTCACGTTGCATTTTTCATGGAGTCTTCTATCTCTGTGCGGTGAAGTTTAATTATCGGCTGCCCGCATACAGGTTCGCCAATGATGAAAGAGGTGGAATGTTGTGTGCGTCTGTATGTGTGTGGGAACTGGCAGTGCAACGGTGCTATGAATCCAGCAGCCCGAGATTCCTGGTCACGGCCAACACCAGTGACGATTATTTTAACTGAACCTGGGCTTCCCCTAGGTCGACTCGGCCTCCAATGAGTACCTGGTTCGGTGTCTAAAAACATCGCCCCTGCGGAGACAATGGCGGCCGGACGTGGTGTTGGCCACCCACCCCCTCGTGTGCTGTGCCGACCTTCATAGGTGTGCTCTAACAGCAGTTTCTCCACCAGTTTCAGTCTGGATGGCTACACGGGGGTGGGGGGAGGGTTTTTTGTGTGTGTGCGTACGTGGATTTGTTTATTTATCTTCCTTTTCATTAATCTTCTCTGCTATTTAAACCACTTTCTATGTAAATGTGTTGCGATGAACTCTTGATGGATTTGGGCGTGCGGGGTGGTGAGCTGCAGGATTATAAAGCCGCAAAGCCTAGGCAAAACTCAACGCTCATTTTGAAGAGGGTCTTGCCTTGGGATGTTCGATCTATTCCTTACACCACATCGTACACAATGTATTTCGTTTTTTGTCTGTGGACATTCGTGGGCTAATAATTCACCCCTCCCCTCCAGCCTATGGACTTCGGTGAATTGTGATTAATTGTCGAAATTCGAATTCAAGAATCGATTTCTGATCCCGGTGAATGGTTGCGTCTCTAGTGGCTGATGCAATCTCGATTCACAAGTGAAGCTATTCGATGCATTCATCATGATCTTATACATTGATATTGATTGACGATCGCCACTTATATTTAACAACGATCACTTTGTCAGCATTTGTACAATTACAGTCGCGATTATGACCATCTTCCTCACTTTGCATTTCTGACAGGTCCCCTCGAAAAGCCACCCCTCATTCCTTGTCCGCCACATTCAGCAACAAAAACCACAGCTTTTTTTTTATTTCTCCCCGCCTCCCTTTCTCTTCTAGTGTCTCGGATAAGCGTCGGTAAAAGGGTGATGTCTGTTTTTCACTGCCCCGCCCCTCCGCCAGATCTAAATCGATGGCTCTCCGATGAGCTGAGACCGTGCGGACCGCGGCCACGAAACGGCCGCGTCGCCCTCTTATTAAGTGATGGATTTTTTTGTTGTTGTTTTAAATCCCGTCGCATCCCAACCGACCTTGCGTTTCGCTCTCACGCGTTCGCCCCCGGGGGTGGCTGGGTGGGTGGGGGGCGCCGGCCGCGAGCTGTCTGCTAAACAGCAGTGGCCGTGGCTCCGAACTTGGCACGCCCGTGACTCTTGAGGATCGGGCGACGTCGTCCCTTAAGAACGCAGCAAGGCTATGCAAGCGCTGAGCCACGATACTGCATTCCTTTGACGATGAAGTTGCAATTTGGCCACGCTTTTGTCATTGTACTTTTTTTTATTGTGTTTCTAGTGACTTGCTTAACCCTTCTCTTCATTCATCGTGTATGCTTTGTGGTATTATTTTGTCGATGTGATTTGCTGGACGTCTGAAAAAGAGCCTCATAGCTCAGAGAACTCCTCCTCCGGTTTAAATGCAGGCGGTATAAACAGTACCGTGCGATTTTCATTGCAGTGCTTTCATCACTAAAGAAAAAATATTTATTTGAAACAAAAATATCGTCCCGTCTCCTCCAGAGCTGGCGGGGGGAAAATAATCAGTCGCTGACGGCTCGGAATGTGAGGTGGATGGGCAGATGGCAGTCAAGTAGCGTATTCTTGAACCTGTGTGGCACTTTGAGCCTTTTACTGCCCCCCCCCCCCCCCCCATCGGACTCCCGGGTTTTCTTTGGGTTCTCCACTTTCCTCCCACGTGTCACGCAGCTGATTAATGATATCGCTTTGCATACAAATTTTGATGTATGTATTTACATTTTAAATCAGTTTCGGCATGCATTTTTCTCTTTCTAAGGGGTTGTATGACATTCGGCCGTTTTCTGATATAAAACTGTTTCCTATGCCAATTGAAACATGCCCATTTGTCAGGTTTATTGGAATGCCCAGGGCCCCACCGTGTAAAGTCTGATCCCCAACTGCAAGTCAACCAATCTCTCTAAACTCTCTCTCTCTGTGCGCTGATAAAGGGCCTTCGCCCGAAGCATCGGCCTGCTGTATGTCTTCCTGCAACAACGGCAGCGCTAACGTGCGTCTTCACACAACTATATAACACGTCACGTTTCAACAAAATAAATAAGCAGACAATGTTTCCTTCACAAATCTGTCTAAAAAAAAAAGCTGTCTCTGGTGTGGACCAATCAGTTTCAAGGACAATGCATATATTATCAGAGTGTGTTTTTTTTTGCATTCTGACCACAAGCATTGTGGTTAATGCAGACATGATTCCTTGTAAAAGGTTTCAGTTTGGTGTTTTAACATCTTAACGCCTGTTTTGTTGCCAGAAAAAAGGGGAAAAACCTCTTATCAAAGGACACTCAATTAAAAAGTCTCAAGACCCCACCCAGGATTCTGGGTAAAGGACAAAGGCCTATAATTGATTTCAGAACGTGCCATGTAACGAATCAGATACAAGGACGAATTTACCGCTTCCGGGAGATTTCAACGCTTCTGATTTCGTCTTTGTGTCCGCGTGCGTGTGTACCGGCGCCGCGCGTGCATGCTCCGCAAAGCGCGTGGCCAGCCGCGAGGGTCTCGTGCAGCAATTACCCGCGTGGCCGTGCCGCGTCGCTTTAAGCCGCGCATCGTACGCCGCAGCCCGGCGCCGCGCGGCTCAAAGCAAATATCAGGAACTTGGAGATCAGCGTGGATCCCGAGTGCTCCCGTGCGGGTTAATCCCACGGAGGAGGGCGAGCGCCACGACGGCGCCCTGCGCCGCATGGCCGCGTGGCATTGACTGTGCGCCTAAAGGCCGAATCTTTTGGGCCGGTGCGGTTTATCTTCTTGAGGATTTTGCCTCCTCTCGGCATCGATGCCGCTGTTGCAGCTGCGTAAATGACGGTTTGTTTGTGCGCATTGAGTTTTGTTTGTCTGAATTAAATCCAATACATGGTGAGCTGACATTAATTTTGGCAAAAGCTTCTTTATTGTAAGGGACAATGTTTTATTTGTTTGCCTGCTCACTTTAGTGGCGAGTCGAGCGGTATCTGAACTGGGTGCTGGGCTTCGCCTGGGTCGACTCAACCTTAAATGAGTACCTGTAAACAATTGCACTGGGGAGACAAAGGTGGCTGGGCGTGATTTCGGTCAGACCACATCCTCGTGCACCGTGCTGGCCATCATAGCTGCTCGCTCAAGCATTTTTTACCAACGGTCTGAATGCTACAGGGGGGGAGTTTGTGTGCTT